CCCTCACAATGAACTGCTCTGTGCTTGCTAAGAATGCAAGAGAAGCTCTCCAAACATTGACGTGGAATGTCCTGAAGGGAAATAAAAAGAAGACATATCATTGCATTTGCAAGAAGAGGCACTCAATGATATAGGAACTCTTAAGGACAAAATCAAGGAGAACAAAGTAAATGGGTACAGGGTGAGTGTGATACTTTACAAGGTATATAATTTTGTGTATGTTTTGAGTTTTGAATGATATGAATTTATTATTGATTCACAAAAATGGTATTGCATAAAAGATATTTTTAATCACATTTTAATCAAGTTGCAAGAAATTTTAGTTATTTCTAATACCTTATCACAAACAATACTGATGTCCATATCATTATCTCTATAAGGTCATAAAATAGAATTTCTAGATTAAAGGATAACTCTTCAAGGCTTTTTATACGTATTGATGAATCAAGCTCCAAAGTATCTGTATCCATTTTTTACAATTTTTAAAACTTTGCTTATCTAACTGTATTAATCATCTTTCTATTGCGGTGATAAAATACCTGATAAAAACAACTTAAAGGGGGGTTTGTTGTGACTCACGGTTCTAAAAGGTTCAGCCCATGCTCACCTGGCCCCACGGTTTATGGGCCCTGGTGAGGCAGAACATCATGGTGAGGAGAAGGTGGTAGAGCAAAGAGGCTCATCTCATGCCAGACAAGTGACAGACAGGGGAAGCAGAGAGATATAAAGAGGAGAAATGGAGAAGGCGGGAGATATAAGGGGGAAGATAAGGACGAGATACATCCTTCAAAGAGACTCCCTCAGGGATCTACTTCCTCCACTGGGCCGACTTCCTCCACTGGGCGGACTTCCTCACAACCCATTCAGCTGTAAACTCATTAGTAAATTAACCCATTGATGAGGACAACACCCTTATGGACCTAATCACTTCTCCAGGCTCTGCCTCTGAATATTGTTACATTGTGGTTTTTTTGTTTGTTTCTTTTTGAGGTAGGGTCTCGCTTTGTAACCCAGGCTGGGCTCACACTCATGGTGATCCTCCTGCCTCAGCCGCCCCCTGCCCAGGATTACGGGTATGTGCCACCACACCCAGCTGAGCATTGCTGCCCTGCCAAGCCCTTAATACAAGAGTCTTTGGGGACACTCATATTTCAGTCATAACAATAACCCTTCTGAACCTGGAGGACCATGTGACTTTGTCCCCAAAAGGAATCACTTTCAGAAAGCACAATTCGAATGCCAGAAACAATTTACAAGAAATTTGAAAATCTGTTTTACCTTATTGGCTCTCTCTCCTTCTTATACATCCATTAACAAATGGCAAGCACAAGGTCGTGAGTTCAGTTCCCGGTACCGGAGAAAAACCGAAAACCGAAAAAAAAAAAAAAAAAAAAACAAACAAACAAATGTTCTGAGTAAGCAGGGGGAGGGGCCAGTTCTCCATGTAGCTCAACGTGGCAGTGTCAGGCTGACCCAACGGTTCTAAAATACTCCAAATACTTGAAGTACCAAATGTTTGAGAGCTGTGGCTCTGAAATGGAATCAGTCTTCCCTAGTTCCCTGGGTGAAGAATGGTCGAGTGAGTCCTAGTGAATATGATTTATGGGCTCCTAAGGTTTGGATGTGGGTTCCTCCAGGGTTTCATATGTTGGAAGCTTGATCCTCTATGGCAGTGAAGGCAGATCTTTTAGAGACCGAGTGCCCAAACTGTAACCCAAAACCCACTTATTTATCTCAGAATGCCAACACTGCAATTAAATCTGAATACTGAGGTTTTAGTTTAGAAAAAAAAAATCCTAAATTAACATCTTTTGTCTTAAAAGAAAAACACAATAAAGAGCTTTCAATGGTACAAATGGCCTTTTATTGAAAGGAAAAGGTGTACAAGTGGTGTGCTGGTGTGACTGGGCTTGCGAGCCCACAGTGAGGGCTCCGTGCACCCACTGCCGTAGATTCGCCACTAGCGCTCTAGGTCATGTGAAAAGTTGGTGGGACCTTTAAAAGGCGGGGCCTAAGAGGAATCACTGGGTAGCGCCCTTGAAAGGGATTCATGGGTTCTTCTGGGACCTTGCTTGCCGGCTCACCTGCGAACTTGCTCCTTCACCCAAGGATTCCCCTCACAGTGATGTTCACCTTGAGGGCCCCAGCAGAGGTTCCAGCACAGTGTCCTTGAACTTCCAATCCCGAGAGCTAAGTAAGTACCTTTTGTTCATAAAATACTAGCAGAAAACTGACTAATCTGGAGGATGGGGTAAAATTACTCAGATTTAACATCTTCAAAACCTGTGAAATTATTGTTATTTATGTCTCTCAAGTGGATTCAAGTATAGCATCTCCAGGTCCGGGGTTAAAGCCTCCTTTGCTCATGGGCTCACTGTCCTCACATCCAGATGCCCCTCCCCCAGCATTTCAGGCTGCAGTTCCCCTCCACCTTCCCACCCAGAGGCTCCAGAGAGAAGAGGCTTGGAGCTGTCAGTTAGAGAAATCCCTTGGACTGGCCAGGAGTCCATTAATAATTTTCATCCTGTCTGACGTGAGTATCTCCACTTCCCTCATTCTTGCCAGGTTTCTGAGCCAAAGTGGGGACATAAAGTTGTCTCCAGCAAGCCCTGTAACCTGGACACTCCAGAGGCTGAGACAGAAGGATCACCATAAGTTCAAGGCCAGCCTGGGCTACACAGTGAGTTCAAGGCCAACCTGAACTGCCTGGAGAGACCCTGTCTCAAAAAACCAAAAACAAGAAGAAAAGTTGTCTTCAACTATATACTACAAAAGTCTTCATTCCCTCAAAATCCCGTTCTCTGGGTCCACCCCCAGTTCAGCTGCAAGGCCCTCCAATGTCTGTGCTACCCATGCAGGGGATCACCCCTCTGCCCCTCCTGCAGAGGCTGTGACACTGATGGCCTCTGCCCACCCCAGCTCCCCACAGGCAAAGCTCCTCCACACGCCTGGAGGCTCTGTACTTCCCAGGCTGGAGCTCTGTCCACCAGCGGGAAACAACTCCAGAGTAAAGGCAGTCACTGCCCTCGGGGAAACCATGCATTGGAGGAGGTACGGGAATCTGTGCTGAAGGTCTCAGCCTCTCTGCACAGCGGTCATTGTGAGGCACGTTCTCCCACTGCCCATCACATGCAGTGTCCGGGCTCCTGTTCCTATGCACCCACTTCTACACCCCAACATCTCCCAGTCAACTGCCTGGGCATCCCCTTGGGAAACCAGAACCAAGACAGCTCCCTGGGGCATTTTGTTGCATTGTTCTCTCCTTGACCACTGTCCCCTGGGGACTGCATGTCCACTCCCAGGCAAAGCTCCTGCTAAGCTGATGGCAGTCAACCTCAGGGTTTTAAGATGGCTGTCTATGATTTAAGCGTGAACTTCCTCCCAAAGCCTCGAGCACCCAGAGGCCAGCTTGAGGAAGGCTGAATTCTGGGGACACTGCTGCAGCTGGTTTGGTGTTAGCAAAGGGGCTGGTCAGAAGGGGCAGATCACTAGGAGCATGACCTGGAGGGGTACACCTCCCTCTGGGCTCTGCCCTTCTCTCTCAGCCCTGTCTGTCATGGGCTGAGCAGCTTTCTGCTGCCAGGAGCCTTCCTCCATGCTCCCAACCATCACGGACTGAAACTTCTAAAATGTGAGCCGAAATAAACTCCGCCTCCCCTAGTTGGGTATTGTAAAGTGACTAAGACAAGTGTAGGTCCTGTGTGACAGCAGCCCTGCTAAGCTGATGGCAGTCAACCTCAGGGTTTTAAGATGGCTGTGTCTCTGAGGAATCCAAGGAGACACCAGAGGCCTGGGGCCTCAGGGATCTATTCGCCCCTTAAAAAGGCCAGCGTGCTACAGGCCCGGTGAAGCTGTTAGCTGCGGCTGGTGAGTAAGGGCCTGAGTCCACGCCTGACCGCCTCATCCTTCCCCACCTCAGACAACAGGCCCTCTCCTGCCTCCATGCACAGAGGCTGCCCCCTCCTCAGCACCAGCCACCAGCCCATCTCTGGGGAAGGCAGAGCTGGGCTTCCAGCTGCAGGTCCTGCTGGGGAGAGCCTGGCAGGCAGAAGCAGTAGAGTCAGCCCCACACGGGGTAAGAAGAGCAGACCCACAGGACGTCATACTCAAAGGTTTCGGGTCACCTCTCCGGGAATTTTTTTTTTTTTTTTTTTGGTTTTTCTCCGGTACCGGGAACCGAACTCACGACCTTGCGCTTGCCGGGCAGGCGCTTTGCCACTGAGCTAAATTCCCAGCCCTCTCCGGGAATTTTAAATCAGCAGTCCAGGGGACTGTGCTTGTTATACTTTACTAGCCCCGGTGTAATTTTAAAAGTTCTCAAATTCCAGATTATCTTGAAAAACAGGAGCTCCGACGAAGTGGAGTCCAGATTCCAAGCTGTGCTTAACGGGGGCGGGCGAGGGGGGATCCTCTAGTGTCCTGCCACAGCTCTGAGTCCCGGTTCTGTACGCCCCGGAGCTCCCCAGCTACCACTACTTTGGTTTTGCGGCTCCTTAGTTTCACCTAAGAACCAGAGAGGTCCTGAGAGTAGCCTAACACACAGCCTGCCGGGAAAACTGGGGAGGCCGCGCTCCGGGGTGTCCTATAAACAGACTGAGAGGCCGAGCTGGACTGCGTCTCGGTAACCCAGCCATCTGAAGGTGGTGGTCCTCGGGCTTTGGTTGTGGACCCCAGGGTTGGATCTTTGTGCAGGATAAGCTCCGCGTTCCCAGCTTCCTCCCAGGAGGCTTCCTGCTTCATCACCACCCCATAACACCCATACTGCCCGTAGGAGTCTCCCTGCACTCTCCCCGGGAAGATGAGTGGCACCCCGGCTAGCAGAGGGCGGCGCGGACGCCGGCCCCGCGCACCCTCAGAAAACAGGGCGCTCCTCCCCTGCAAGGGCTACCCGGGTGGGGAACCACAGCAGGGCGCAGAGGGCTGCGCTCAGTCACCCGGCTCCTGAGGTCCCCTTCACCCCCGGCGGGAGGGAGTAGCAAGCTCTTCGGAGGCAGTGCCCGAAACTGGAGCTCCCGCCAGCGGCGCCCTGGGCGTCGCCGTCCGAGCACGCGCCGGGCTGCGGGCGGGGACCCGGAGGCGGAGTGCCGCGCAAGGCTGGGCGCACGGCGCGGGTCCGAGGCGTGGGGCGCCGAGGGGGCGGGGCGCCAACTCCGGCTGTAGACGAGCTCCGCTGGGGAAGCGGCGAGGTGGAAAGAGGAGCGCGGCGGCACGCTCCGCGCCTCTGCCAGTGCCGGCCGGTCCTGAGGCGGAACCGAACCCCCCAGCCTCGTCCGCGCAGCCGCGGTCCTCGCCCGACCGCCGGGTCCCCGAGCGCGCCGGGGGAGGCCGAGGTAGGAAGGTGCTCGGGACCGCGGGATCGGGGACGCGGGAGGCGGGGCGCGGACGTCTGTCGCCCGGGCGAGGGGCTGCGACCCCGCGTCTTCTCCGGGCAGCTCGGGCCTCTCAGCCTCCTGTATCTCGGGGTGCGCCCGGGCTGTCTCGGGCAGGCGGGCTAGTTCCGTGAGCGCCCCAACGTCGGCAGGGACGCGACGCCGGGACTGGGGAGCGCGGCCGCGTGGTGAGTGGCGAGGAGGACAGGGCAGAGGGGAGCAGAATAGAAGAACCGTCTCCGGGGAACCCCGCGCTCCTCACCCCCTGGCCGCCAATATTGTTCCCGCAGGCTTTGTCCAAAGTGAATGTCTGAGTTGGCTCCAGCTCCCGCCGGGGCGATCCTTCCGCGTGGTTGGTCAGGGAGGGGCAGGGGTGCTGCAGGTGGCGGGTCACCGGCGGGGACACGCTCACCCCGCTGAATGGGACGGGGACCTGGCCCTGCCGGCAGACGCGGGACTTCCCCCCAGGTACGACCCCCGCTTCTCTGTCCGTGTGCAGGGTTTGAGGGTGTCCGTGAGAGTGAAAGGAGACCCGGAGGAAGGACACCCGGGTGCGGACGCCTCTGAGACTTGAACTTCGCCTGTCCGGAGTCTTTACGTTGTGTGCCAGCTGCTGGACGCGCTGTAGGTTGGGTCCCTGACACCTGTGAGACTCTGGTCCCTTGCTGGGGTGACTCTTCTTGTCCCACACTCTCTTCTGTCACTTTCGGGGAGTAGCAAAACCTGCCGTCCTGTTTGGTCGCTTCTTGCTACCAACACCATTTAACTCCTGCGTTTGGAGTCGTTTGCAGGTGCGGGGAAGGAGCGAGGAGGGCGTTCCGGGTTGTAAAGGCAGCCATTCAGTGGGGCTGAAGGTTCTGGCTCTTCTCCCCTCACAGGGACACCTCGCACCCTGTGCAGCCGTGTCTCCTGAGGGCTCGGTGTGCAGACCTCCTTTCCTCTCCCTTGGGCATCTTGAGGCCCCAAGATAAAGAACCTCTCAGACAATAAAGGACAGGTCAGGCCTTGGACCCTCTGGGGCCTTAATGAGCTCGCGCCCTAGCCCATCCCCAGGGGCTCATTTCAGTTGAGCCAGGCTGTTTTCTGTTGCAGCATCTACTACTTCCAGAGCCCACAAACCCGGTGACAAGCCGCGTGCCTCCCAGTGAGGGTGGGCCACTGGGTGCCTGCTGAAGGGAGGGGCTGGCCTAAAGTAGCCGGGCAGATTGGAGATGAAGGGTTCCTCCAAAGAACTGGGGAGCAGCGGATTCCCTCCCCGCGGCAGCCTCCTTCCTTCACTAGGAGCGCGCCAGCCCTGTAATGGGCAGCGGGAGTTTGGGCCTCTGAGCGCATGAACCGCTGGCCGGGTGAGACTCCGCCTGAGCATGTGAACACGGTTTTGGCTGGAACAAGGGAATCTGTGCCCTGCTTTGGATGAAAAACCCTTTCCCACCTCGTGGATGGTACCGCACTGTGACCACCATAGAAACCTGGGCTGGCCAGCCTTAGGAAACTGTTAGAAGACCCTTAATGAGGGGCTGATGAGGAGCTGGGGGGCAACTTAACCGTCAACCAGCACTGGCCCCTGGGCAAAGGGCAGGGATGCACATTCTTCCTGGTGTCCTGGAGAGCTCAGTCTACCCAATGCCAGTCCCTCCTGACAGCTGCACAGCTAGTGGCAGCACCTTGCAGCTTCCAGGTCTCCTGTCCCCTCTCCCTGTCACCCTGGCAGTTCTCGGGGGGAGCTCTCCCACATGCCCTGCAGTGCTTATGTTTCCTTCCAGGTCCTGGATGTATCAACACTGCCCAAGGATGTGAGCAGGGCGCTGGGCTCACTGATCTGGGAAGCCCCTGGCTCCAGGTGCTGAAACCCACTCATCTGCCCTGCCCCCAAACCTCTCTCAGCCACTCCACCTGCGGGCATCGCCATGGCAGCCCAGAGCAGAAACACTAGTTTCACACACAACTTGAATCCACCCCAAGACCATGGCTCCTCGCTTTCCTTCAACTTCAGCTATGGTGATTACGACCTCCCTCTGGATGAGGATGAGGATATGACCAAGACCCGGACCTTCTTCGCAGCCAAGATCGTCATCGGCGTGGCCCTGGCAGGCATCATGCTGGTCTGTGGCATTGGCAACTTTATCTTCATCGCTGCCCTTGCCCGTTACAAGAAGCTGCGAAACCTCACCAACCTGCTCATTGCTAACCTGGCCATCTCCGACTTCCTGGTGGCCATCATCTGCTGCCCCTTTGAGATGGACTACTACGTGGTACGCCAGCTCTCCTGGGAGCACGGCCATGTGCTCTGTGCCTCTGTCAACTACCTGCGCACCGTCTCCCTCTACGTCTCCACCAATGCCCTGCTGGCCATCGCTATCGACAGGTGAGGATGGTGAGCGGGGGTCACGGGTAGGAGCCAGCCAGGCTGCCCCATGTCTCACTTGGACTCTGACAGACTGACGTTGCCCCAGACTTGAATGCTCAGTGACCTGTCAAAGAGTTGGGAGACCTTGACTCTGCAGCTGTGTTCTGTTCCCCCAGATATGAGCAAGGAGGAGGAGGCTCCTGATCCCCCAGTTCAGGCCTTGCCCTCAGAGGTAGGGATGCATGCACCATCATACCCAGTACAAGGCAAAGCAGAATTCCCAGACAGCCTCTGCTTAGAAACCACAGGAATCTTAATCAACTAGGGCAGCTTCTAGTCAAGACCTTAGGTTCCAAGTTCTTCCTGTAGCCAGAGAGATACTAGAAATTCCTGTCCACTAGAAAACTAGCTTGTACCTGTTAACCAGCCCAGCACCACCTCAGGCAACCATCGATCTGATTTTTATCATCATGGTTCTTAACATAATTCTGCCTGTTCTTTAACTTCATAAAAAAAAAAGGAATCATCCAGTTTTTAGTCTTGTTTTTGGTGAGTTTATTGCAGAGATGGTTTTAAATAAGATAGCAGGGTTTGCTTGCAGAAAAGAGGGAAGGACATGTTTCCTTTTTCTTTTTGCATAATCGGTGTGCTCATTTGCATACATTTGCATGAGATGTTCCAGAAGTCCTTGCTCAATTATAAATCTATAAGGTAAAATTTATAATAGCAGCTAATGACAAATCTTACACATGTTTCGTTTAGCCAAAGTTACAGACCAGCATCAGCTCACCAGTGACTGAGGGGGACAGTTGGTGTCACATCCTCTTGGTGACTGTCTACCCTTTTGAGCTGTACAAAGACTCATTTTGATATGGTGCTTAATCATCTTTTTTCCCTTTCATCTCCTTTCAATGCTTCAGGTTTTCCTGTCAATGTCATTTAGATTATTTTATCCTTTTTAATCAACCAGTTTATTATTTTCCATTTAGGGCGGTAAAATACACATAGATGTACAAAATGCATCTGCCCTTTTATAGCATAATGCCAGCAGGAAATGCACTTCTGTTGCGGTTCTGAGGCTCTCTGGCCCTGGTTGATGAATTGCATACTTACCAACCAGCTGAGCAAACCCCCGAGGGAAAACGACACAAAGGATCATTTGATAAAATGACGCAGAAGGATTCCTGGGCCTCACCGGAGGGAGTCTCCTGAATGGGAATCTCTTGGGATACTCTGACAAATCTGCATTTTAATCCAACTCATTGAGTGATTCTGATGTGTGCTGAAGGGAGAGTGATCACTGTTCTCTGGTTGTTGTGTTATAACTTTTGTTTTCTGATGTTGATTTTTTTCGTGGTTGTTTTGTTTTGTTTTGTCTTATTCACCACACTGGAGTCTCTTAGGAAGGAATCATCCTGCTCCAACACAACAGAAAACAGACAGGCTCCTTTTTCACCCCAAACCCAGGCTGCCTCCCAGCTCCTTAGGCAGTGCCACCACCCACCCCATAACCCTCTCTGCCTTACCTCCACCAGGCCCACCCCGTGTCCAGCCCTACACCCATCCGGGCAGTTGTCCCTTCAGCCTCATCTCATAGCAGGCCATGGCTGGGCCATAACAGCAGTCTCTGACCCGCCTTTCTTTCCTGGGCTCCCACCTGTCCTAGGTAATCCATATTCATGCATAGGAAGCATAAGAATATCCCCACTGATGAGTCTTCCTAAAACACTGTGTTGCTTATAAAATCTCTAGACATTCCAGTGCCCACGGAACACATACCAAATCCCAAGCCTACCATTCTAGACCTTTGTAAGCAGATGCTGCCTGCTTCCCAAACTCAGGCTGTGTATGGAGAATCAGGTAGCCTGTTCCAAAAGACAGTGTGTTTGCAAAACAATAACCACATTTCTCTCTTTCTGTCTCCACAGTGCTGACACAGAGCCTTACACCTGTGTCTTAGTGTGAGTTACTTGTGGATATTCAGACAAGGGTCCATGCCCAGGTCTCACCAGGAAGGACCTATAAGGCAATGGGAAGTGAGGCAGGGGAGGGAAAGCAAGGTGTATTATTAAGCAGGTTTCCACTATGGGCAACTAGAGTTCCTTCTTGCTGAGGGAGGCCCAGAGCCGGTGTGAGTCAACCCCCAGAATTCCCCCAGGAGTAGAAAGTTCAAGAGAGCTGGACCATCTTCGCACCATCTCCCATAAGTCTCTGCTACAGCCTGCTCTGGCAGCCAGGAGGACCGTGGAAGCAAGAGACAGCCTTTGAAGAAATGCAGGTGGGGGAGGTGGGAGTGGAGGTGTGTGTGGAGCAAGGGATGCAGACAGCAGCTGCTGCAGTCTGACAGACCCAGGGCAAGTGGCTGTGTGTCTGGGATCAGAGGAGTAGAAGACACAGTCCTTGACCTCAGGGATCTTCCACCCAGAAACTACCATTTATGAAACATAAAGAGCAATCAAAAGATATTGATTCATAAATGGTAGTGGGTTTTTTTATTTCTTTCTTTCTTTCTTGTTTGTTTTTTGGTGGTACTCAGCCTTCATGCTGTGATACATCCCAACCCCTTCTTTCTTTTTTCTTTCTTTTTTTTTTTTTTTACTTTGAGATAAGAGATAAGGACTTGAAATCACTAAGTTGACCAGTTGGGCTTAAATTTACAATCCTCCCGTCTCAGCCTCCCAGAATGCTGGGATCACAGGTGCGTGCTGTCATGCCTGGCATAAATGCTAGGTTTTATTGCATGAAAACCTCTCTGAGAAACTTATAATTACTGATAGAGGAACTAGCTAGAGAGAGAGGCTTTCCAGTGGGGGAGATATGTAACTGGTGAGAAGGAAGGTCTCATGGCTAGGCCTTTGGGGTCTGGTAAACCTCAAAACTATAAAGGCAGCAGATGAAATTTCAAGCCTTAGGATACAGGAGTTTAATAAGTAGCACCCCTCCAGCCCCGTCAGGTTCTAAGCTGATTGGAAAATGAGGCAAGTGAGAAGAAGGATGGGAGGCAAATGCTCATCTTTGCCCTGATGATGCTGATTTTGGGAAATGGGCTTTTGTGGGGACCCCTGCATGCTCAAGGCCAGAAAGAGAGTCCTGCATCCCCCAGGAGAAGCACAGGGTCCCTGAGTACCCCATTTATCCTTGGGTCAAACACCCAGTATCTCTACTATGTAGAGATAGCAGCAGGACAACGCAGTGCTGTTTCTGAATTCTGCAGCCAGAGAACAGCCAGTGTCACAGTGTAGAGAGTGGAAGGAAGTTGTTGACCTCATGAAGCACACTCAGATAGATGGCAACAGACTTGCCAATGAATGAGTCATGGGAAATGATCAAGTAAGCAAAGTGCTATAGCTTCCAGCATGCATTATGTATGTTGACTCTTTTGGAACCTGACAGAAGTCTTGATAGATGGTCAATAAGCTTATCACCCCCATTGCACAGATGCAGAAACTAAGTCCCAGGAGCATAAATGATTTATCTAAGTGTGCAACTTAGATCCGGGCTTTCTAAATAACTCCTAGATCATGTTCTGTTCTTTGTATTTATTTGATGACAACCCTGAGTTTTGGAACATCCTACAGAATACAGAAGGTATTGTTAGAACCAGGTATGGTGGCGGCTCACACCTATAATCCCAGCACTCAGGAGGCTGAGGCAGGAGAATCACCGCAAGTTCAAGGCCCTCCTGAGTTAGTGAGACCCACAACAACAGCAACAAAGGAAAGAGTGTGGAAACTCCTTTTGGTAGTAGTTACTGAAATACTGTCCATGATGGAACTCAGTTGAGAGAGAGCTATTATCCCAGGACTTGCTCTGCGTTACCTCTGGACTTTGGATTCAGTATTGGAGACAGAATAGTGCCTGCCCTCAAGGATAACCACATCCAAATTCCTAGAACCTGTGAATATGTTACATTACATGCTAAACAGGGATTAAGGTAGCAGAAGGAATTAAAGTTGATAATCAGCTGATCTTAAAGTGGGGAAATGTTCTGTACTGCATAAGCTAGGTGGGGCCAGTGGAATCAGAAGTTTTTAACTTGTGAAAGAGGGAGGCAGAGATGCAGTGTCTGTATGAGAAAGACTAACCCGGCCATGGCTAGCTCTGCACGGATAAAGGGCCATGAGACAAGAAACGCAGGCAGCCCTGGAAAAGGCAATAAAGGATGCTGTCCTGCTGACACCCTGACTTTAGCCTAGCAAGAACCATGAGAGACTCCTGGCCTCTAGAACTGTAGGGTAACCAGTTTGTGTTAGCTCAAGCCACTGTGTTTGTGATCATTTGTTAAAGCAGCAACGGGAAGCTAGTTCACCCAATCAGAGAAGGACGGGGAGGAGATGTCTCTGCTCCACTGAGGTGAGCCAGGCCCTTTGCCCCACCTCCTGCCCTGTGAGTTTTGTCACAGGTCACCCAGACCGGTCACATGAATGGGTGAAGAACTCCAGCAACCTCAGTGGACCAGGGTGCATCGGGGTTCAGGATGGACTAGCTCCATCCTAGGTACGCCAAAAACCTCAAGCTGGGGGAGGCCTGATTCCACTGGATCTCTTGATGGAATTCAGTGGCTTAGAGCCACCAGCAGACAAGAGAAGATCAGACTCACTTGGGGCAGAAATACTGCCAGGGACAGGAAGCAGTAACATGGCAGAGGCCCCCTGAGTCAAGTCAGAGATTGGGAGAGGTGATTGAAAGGTCTGGTTACAAAGGAAAGGTGAGTTGGAATTTTTTACGCAACCTCACCTGATTCAGGCTCTAGGTATGGGTCACGTGTTCATTTCCAAGCTTGACTTTCTTTTCACCAGCAACCCCCGAATCTCCCACCATCTCTTCCTTCCTCCCACCTATAAAAGGCACAGAAATGAGCAGCTGGTGTGGTGGTGCACACACCTGTAATCCCAGCACTCAGGAGGCTGAGACAGGAGGACTGCTATGAGTTCAAGGCCAGCCTGGGGTACAGAGTGAGTCCAGACAAGCTTGGGGTATATAGCCAGACTTGTCTCAAAAAAAAAAAAAAAAAAAAAAAAAAACAGAAATTATTCCAGGGCACCAAAATATCTAACAAGTTGTCATTAGATCTCTCTGGAAAGAAAGTATTCAATCCACATGTGTGCATTTGTTTTGCACAAAGAGCTCTGAACTCCTTTCCCAGACAGTGTGGCTCATTGAGAGTACAGATAAAGCCTGATGGTAACTTCATCGTCCTTTCATCCGAGTGTGACACAGCCCAGGAGGTGAGTAGCAGTGGTGTATCAGGAGCCGGGACTCGGCTAGCTGCAGGGCACAAGCTCAGGCAGATGTTTATTCGTCCTTAGAGTCCTTGGTTCCCACCAAGCCCCCTCCTGCTGCCCTGCCCCTGTGGTAAGGGTGACACTCCCTGGGAGGGGAGCAAAGCCTCACTCTCCAAATTGCACTTCCTTCACCTCTGCACCCTGAAATCTCTGAAGCGAAGAGCTTTGAGAGTATTACATTCTTGGTCAGCACGGCAGAATTGAAAGCCAGGGAGGTATACTGGGACCATTGATAATAACAGGCCACATGTGTCTATGGAACACCTTCTGCGTACTGAGAATTTTACATTCTCATAGTTAATGTGCACAGCCACTCTGCAAGGTAGGCAGCATTTAATCCCAAGTTACTGTGGAGGAACCAAATCTCAGAGAGATTGGGTGGTTTGTCCAGACTCCTAAGCCAGTCCAGAGGAAGCCAGAATTTACTCAGCCTGTTCGGCCCCAATCTTGTGCTGTTTCCAGTAAACCACTCCACTACTCCATATGCCAGCTGATAGAGCAAACATGCAATGAAGTTGGTTAAATCTGGGTAATGGGCACATGGGGATGCATTGTGCCATTCTGTCTGCTTTTGTATGTGTTCGGAGTTAAAAGCCAGTCATGAGCTGTGAGTGGTGGCACACACCTGTAATCTCAGAACACTGGAGCCTGAGGCAGGAGGATCTCAAGTTTGAGCCCAGTCTGGGGGACTTAGTGATTTCGAGACCCTGTCTGACAAAAAAGGCTGGGGATGTAGCTCAGTGCAAAAGCCAAGTTCAATCCCTACTACAAAAAAAAAAAGAAAAAAAATCCCAATGAATGATGTTTCCAAGTATACATTACTATGATCGTGTTGGCTGCCCTCCTCCACCAGATACCTGGCCATCGTCCACCCCTTGAAGCCACGGATGAATTACCAGACAGCCTCCTTCCTGATCGTGTTGGTCTGGGTGGTCTCCATTCTCATTGCTATCCCATCGGCCTACTTCACCACTGAGACCGTCCTCTTTATCGTCAAGAACCAGGAGAAGATCTTCTGTGGCCAGATCTGGCCAGTGGACCAGCAGCTCTACTACAAGTCCTACTTCCTCTTCATCTTCGGCCTGGAGTTCGTGGGCCCCGTGGTCACCATGACCCTGTGCTATGCCAGGATCTCCCAGGAGCTCTGGTTCAAGGCTGTCCCTGGCTTCCAGACAGAGCAGATCCGGAAGCGGCTGCGCTGCCGCCGGAAGACGGTGCTGGTCCTCATGGGCATCCTCACGGCCTATGTGCTGTGCTGGGCGCCCTTCTACGGCTTCACCATCGTGCGCGACTTCTTCCCCGCTGTGTTTGTCAAGGAGAAGCACTACCTCACCGCCTTCTATGTGGTCGAGTGCATCGCCATGAGCAACAGCATGATCAATACCGTGTGCTTCGTGACGGTCAAGAACAACACCATGAAGTACTTCAAGAAGATGATGCTTCTCCACTGGCGTCCCTCCCACCATGGCAGCAAGTCCAGCGCCGACCTTGACCTCAGAACCAGCGCAGTACCAGCCACCGAAGAGGTGGACTGTATCCGGCTGAAGTGACCTGCAGTGTTCCGGAATTCAAACCCTAGCTCCAGTACTTAGAGCATCACACACCATCAACCAAGTTAGAGGCTGCATGGCAAGGGGCAGTTATGTCCACATCTTCCTGCCCTCCAGGAGCTGGATGCTTCTAAGTCATGACAAACAATGAGTCCAGACACCAACTACCCCAGCTGGCATTTGCTGATACCTACCAAACACCCACTGTGTGCACAGGCACAATGACAAAACTACATGCAAGTAGCAGCGAGTGACGCGGACCACACACCTATGGTGAGCAGACCATCCTGGTGAGATTGCACAAGGACAGTGGGAACTGACACTTACTGATGACATGCTGTGTGCAGAAGCTTTGAAAACCACAGCAAAGTGGCAGAAGCTAGTGCAGTCATCAAGCTAGGTGGAGATCTATGAACGACTGGACAGAGGCCACACATGGTTATCTGGAACCCCCCAACCCCACTCGTGTCCCCTCCTCTGTCCCTTATCCGTACAGGAATGTCCAGAGGCTGCAGGATAAGGCACTCAGACACAATAGAAATGCAAGGACCAGTCCATCATTGTGGAGTCCACCGCCTCACCGGAAGAGTTAATGCCAACACAGTGGCCTTCCCCATCCAGTTCCTGCTGTCTCCTGAGATACTCTCTAGGATGTTCTCTAGAGAACAGTTTTTCTTGCAACCAAGCCAGCCTAATATGGTTGTCTGCCATAGTGTAATTTCAAAGGGAAAGAAGCCAAAAATGTCTTTCCCTCTGATCCTTGGAATCTTGTCATTCTGTTGGCTGAAGAAGGGCAATCCTGAGAACACATCCAGTTCCTGAAACTTCAGAGCAAATGATTTCAAGGGCTCTGAGGGCTGAGGGAGAGACTAGAGAGAGGGTTGGAGGTTGCCACTGGTGATGAACATATTCTGTGTGGTCACTTTGCTAAGACCAGGACCATGTCCTAGAATACACTTTCTTACAGAAGGAGCCCTTCTTGGAATCCTAAGACCTGGGTTCAAGTCCTTACTCTAGGGCTCATGTGACCTAGATGTTTCTTTTCTGTGTCTCAGTATGGCTTTAATGAATGGGAACAATGAAGACATCTCCTCTGCCTGATGCTTACAGTACCATAGGGAGAGCCCTTTGCGGTCATAGTGTATGAATATAATTTTCAACTGTACATGTGGTAGTAATGAATAGATGATGTTGAACCATTTGGAGGGAGTTTGTTTAGAAACCCCACTTCCTGTGTTTTTTTATGGAGAAACACCTCCAGTTTCTTCATCCTTGTTCTTTGGACCAGGGACCCCTGAACTCTGCACAGTGGCCCATCTACCCAGGAACAAAACTGGCATCCCTGTCCCGGAATATCATGAAGAAAGTGGAGCCCCAGACCCAGCATATCTGGGTGTTACAAATGTGGACAGCCTTCCCATTGTGTTGTCATCATGCCACCCCAGGCCTGCATGAAGGTCATGTCTGAGTCCATTTGTATTACTGCGCATCCAAGGTGGTTGCGGGTGTGTATTCTTTCTGACTCGTTTTGAAGCAGACCTGGTTTGAGCTTGGCCCTTCCACATTTGGTCAACTCCTAATTTTTTGTAAGAAAGGAATTATTTAGTTGTCTTGCTTGTTTTTTAAAATTATTTGTTGGTTCATTTCTCCACCAGTGAAGTTTCAACCAACTATTTTCTGTCATCCGCCAGTGGACTCACCTTCAACCTTGGTGAATTCAGTGCAAGCTCACTTTAGGATCAGCCTACAAAGAGTGGCTTATAAATCCTGATTGTACAAAATTTTCACGATGCATTCTAACGCCAAGCAAGAGAGCATTTTAGGTAGTACATTTTCAAAAATATAATACTTGTGTTTTTATTTATTACCCTTACAGAAGTCATTTTTTCCTTTTTGTACTAAATTGTTCCATCCCTCTTTCATTTAAATTTTACTGAAAAAACTTGTAAATATCAGCATTTTGTGATTTTTTTCCAGTGCATAAAGTGTTGTACTGTTACCAAGTGGAATAATTAACATATAGAATCTTAATCACAGTGTTCATGTATTTTCTTGCTATTCTTGTATAGCATATTTAGATATAAGTGAAGTCATAGCCATCTAAACAGCTTAGCCAGGAACAGAGAATTTATCCAAGGTGTTTTTAGAAGAAGAGCAGTAGCTTAGACCAAAAGTGAGGGTCTTCTCTATTTCATCCCTCATGCTTACTGCCCAGGTGGGTATTCTTGTGTGTGAGCAAGCTGGAATGACCATGTCAGTGCTGCCCCTTCATTTTGAAACTACCTTGTTTAAATGTAAGCTGCTGTTTGAATGGAGACTGTTCATCTCTCGAGCTGGAATTGAACAATAAATCAATTGCATTTGTGTTTACTCTTCTCAAGACTGGTTAATGGTACGTCTCGGGTACTGTTGATGTGCCAAGGTATCTACACACTTATACATATTATATATTGAAATTTTTAATCTCATTTGGCCAAACAGATAAATTTCCTCTGCTAGAATAAAACATCGCTCTGAAGTGACAATCCTGGAGATTTTTCCTTCAGCATCTCACATTTAAAATAAGTTGCTTCTCAGATTAGAGAAATCAAAAGATGGCTTCAGGACCTCATGCGTGAAGACCATTTCCACTCTTTTTTTTTTTTTTTTTGGTTTTTCTCCGGTACCGGGAACCGAACTCACAACCTTACGCTTGCCAGGCAGGCGCTTTTGCCGCTGAGCTAAATCCCCAGCCCCTCCATTTCCACTCTTAACAAGGAAGAATGTGACATGTGAGAGACAATTAGAACAGTGAGTGCTGTTTCCACCAGAAAATGATGGCTCCAAAACACATCCTTGCAATTTAACCATCATGCCATGCACACAGCTCTCAGTAGGACGCTAGAACAGGAAAGGCCTTTAGGGCATATAGTCCAGCGCCCTCTTTTCTCAGATGAAATCTGAGTTTCATGTGAGGAAATGACTTGCTTGAAAGTACACAGCTAGCACTTGCTGGAGCCAAAACTGCCTCAAGATCTTACCTGTGGGCCAGTGGACAGCATGCAGGGACCACTTACATTTGAGTTGCTGAGAAAGCTTAAAGGGCCTTTTAAATGGCATCTGGGCTCTCAAGACTCTCGAGCTGTGTGGAAGGCACCTTCCCTCCCTCCCCATGCAAGGGCGCTCCCAATCCAGACTTCAGGATTCCAGGGAAACCACAGAGAGTGACTCCAGGACTGCTTTGCTGCCTTTCCTTTCTCCTTCAGCACCCATGGAGCTGTTTCCCAGTGATGCAGGGAGCCATGAGGAGAAGCAGGCGGTGAGGAAAGGCAGCCACTCCCCAGGGAAAGCAGGCCTGGGGAGAGGGGCTTCTGTGCAAAGCCAGAGGCTGCCTAGGCTGCCCAGGACAGAAGGTGCAGTGTCCATGCAACCCTGGCTGGCCCAAGTAGTCATTCCTCCTGACTCCCATTTTCCCCTGCACCAGCTGAAGGGGGGCATGGCTTAGCCAGCACCTGTTGCACTGCTCCCCATTACTTCCCTTTGTTCCCCCTCAACCCCCGAAGGATGGGACAACTTGCTTCAGTGTCTTCCCTGGTGACCTAGCAGCCACTCTCTTCCACTCCATGCCAACAAGAGTGCAGCTACACTGTCAGTCCCCCTCTCCCTACTGCCACCAGACCATTGCCTTTTGAAGAAGAGAGTGCACCTGGAATGGCTAAGATCAGGGAGGGAGAGATCTGGGCCCATTGTTAAGTCCCCAATCCCTAGCTAGCCTTCCAGAAGATTCCCTGGTTTCTCCCATACCCCATCTCTGGATGCCGCCATGACAGCTGCAGCTGTCCTGCAGTCCTGCACCAATCACAGGCCTACACTTGGACCCCTCACAGGGCTGCATCTGCAGTATAAGTGGGACTCCCTCGCCACTTCTCTGGTTAGTCTAGGAGGGTTCCCTCCAGTGTACTGACCCCCTTGTGTTATAGCTCAGGACCTGTTAAAATACTCACTTTGGTGTTTCCATAAACCTGCTCAGGATTTATTTCTCAAGTACTGTGAGCTCCAAAAGTCCTGTAAATCTTTTCAGGATAGGAATCCTGAGTAGTGTGTACAGAGGTCAGCACAAGCTGACACTGGACAGTGGTGGCCAGCAACAGCAGTGACCAGCAGCTGGCTGTGTCAACTCTTGGCATCCAACATTATCTGGTGACATGGGGACTGCTAGCAGAGCTGCACTTTGCCAATTCGTGATTTCCATCTGAACTGAGCCAAAGACCACCATGCTGATTAGCAACACCTGGAAACGAATGCCTTGGGCCACCAGGTCAGCCTCCCTCCTGAGCTGTGGGAAGTGCAGGCTTGAGGCAAGGGGTCATTAGTCAAGGCACTGGAAGATGGGAAATGATGGGGAGAGGGTATCCCAAGCTCTGCTTGCATCTGACTTCTTTGCTCCAAACCACATTTACTGAAAAACAGTTCTCAATGTTGGGTTTACAAATCCCCTGAAGGCTCTGAGTGAACCTTCTAGTCCCTAGAGTGGTTGCCTGAATAATTACCCACTCCCCCACAAGAATATGTCCACCCTCTAATCCCCAAAACTCGTGAATATGGAAGCTTATGAAAAGGGACCTTGTGTATGTGATTAATTTAAGCATCTGGAGTTGAGATAGTCCTTCATTATCTGGGTGAGTCAAACATACTCACAAGGACCCTTATAAAAGGAAGGCAAAAAGAATAAAGTCATTAAAAGGAGATTTTATATAGATATAGATATAGATATTATAGATATAGATATAGATATATCCTGCTTATTCCTGAATGCCATATTCATGAATTTGCTTACAAACTAAACTTTATCTGTAACCTCAAAATCAGCACTCATTTGCTGGTCAGCGCACACACAAATGGCGAAAATTTCAGGTCAGCCAGGTTTATGTTCCCAGCTGAAGTTGAAGCAGCTGACACTCTGCCTTCTTGTTTTAGTGCTATGGTTAACAAGCGTCCTTTTCAAGGTCTATTTAGTGTCATGTGTTTGCATTTTTGTGCTTTTCCATGGTAATTTCCCAAAATACAGTGCTGAAGGAATGTCTGGTGTTCCAAAGTACAGGAGAGTTGTGCTGTGCCTTATGGAGAAAAATAAGTGCGTTAGAGAAAATTCACTTAGACTTGAGATGCAGTGTTGATCATGAGCTTAGTGTCAGTGAACCAACAATATATATTCAAGTGTCTTTAAACAGAAGCATACATAAAGTAAGGTCATGTATTGACTGCATGACAAAAATACCATGAGCAGTGGCTTGCAGAAACAGCCCTGAGATCCCCTGAGGAGCAGCGATTCAGCACTTGCTAATTCAGTGTTCAAGATAACTTTATAGAACATGACCATGAAAAATGAGAATTGACTGTAATCTCTTGAGTTCCAACCCTGTCCTAAGACATAACTTTGTATAAAACCACATGGTCCACAATTTCAACTGATCAAACTATCACGTCCCGCGGCATCCCTTCCTTCCCATGCAAGGGCACTCCCAAGGCTCCTTCCCACTCAAGTCTGCCACTTTGATGCAAATCAAGACCCTTTGGAAAGGAAAGTTTGTGATGGAAATTCACACATTGAACCAAACCACAACCCCACTCTCTGGGGACCACATGTTTTAGGAAAACTTCTTTTTCCCCTATCTGAATACTTGAAATCTACAGCTCATCTGTTCTGTAGTATTGCTATGGAATGGGAAAAAAAAAAAAAAAAAACCACACACCCTCCCAATCCTGGCCCAGAAAGGAGGAGAGCCCTTGGCTAAGACTTTAACTGAGCTGTTTGCAGTTTCAAAGCTTTTCAAAATGATCTTTGCAGACTCAAGGGAACAGCTATAAGAGCCAGCACTGTTTCTTACCCCTATGGTCCCAGGTGCACGACACACAGAAGATTGAGACAAAGAGAGCCGGGGGTCTTCCAAGTACAAGCATGAAGTTCAAGTCCACTGAGAGATGTAGTCTGGAAAACTATGGGCCATGGGGGAAAACGTGATTTTGCCTCCTTGTGGGTTTCAGCTGTCTCCAACAATTACTATTTGTTCTTGGAGAGAGAAAGGGGGGAGGGGAAGAGAGAAGAAGACCTAGAAGGAGAGCGAGGGGGGGGGAGCAGTCACATGGCTTCGCACTCCATTCTGCACCACCCACTGGAAAGTGTGAAGGAGGAAGAGGCCTGACACAAGATATGCAGAACGGAGAAGACCTGGGAGAAAGAGCTCAACCTGGGTTGTCCTGTGGGACCCAGAATGTCAAAAGCCACCTCCTACTGTCCTGCCTGAGTCCCCAGGGTACCCTCAGAGATGGAGCCTCTTAGCACCAAGGAAAGCAGGACCAGGGGGTGAGAGGTGGATGGTGGTGAGGCAAAGCCTTTGGGTGAGCAGTGGAGTTTCCACCAAGGTGAGTGGAGTCCCCTAAAGGCAAGAACAAGATACAAATGTCTGCACTCATCCCTTCCTTTCCATCCAGAATTGTAGGGAAGTCAGCACAGTAAGACAAGGAGGAAATCTTATAAGACTCAGAAAACAAGAATCCATTCTCTTTACTAAGAACAAACAGAGCTAATTAGAGAGTACAGCCAAGTGGTTGGCTGCAAGATCCAGAAACAAAAGTCAATAGAGAACTTGATGATTTGATCCCAAAATTCAGGCCAAGGCAGATTTTTAAACAAGGGAGTTACTCTGCCAGATACCAATATTTATCATAAATCTGTAGTAACTAAAACAGTGAGATATTTAGGGAAGCATAGACAGAGCAACAAAAGGAAGAGAAAGCCCAGACCCAGATGTGTGTATATGTGAGAAGTAAAAACAAAGTTTTCTCCAAAACATGAAAATCAAGATTCAAGAGCTATTTCACTTTTGTAGAGGAATAAGTGAGATTTTTCACACTGAGCTCTTTT